TTATAAAAAAATATACTTTTAACGAAAATTGACTTTATTTTTGATAAACCTGAATTACCATCGAGAGATTCATGTAATGCATTTCTCAAAAGAATTGAAAGGAAAGCATTAAAAGAAAACAATCTTTCTATATTAAACATAAAACTAATTATATAATAACCCACAAGTATTCAATATTCCTTGGGACGGGTTAATTGACGCGCGAATAAATTACATTCCCACCCCCATCGTACTCGATATTCCTCGGGGGCGGTTTAAGTCCCCCGTTTACGCTAATAAATTACTTATTCTATCCGGACATATCTCACCCAAATGTACTCAATATTCCTGTGGGCGGGCTTAAACTCCCCATTCAAGCAGAAAACTTAGTTTCACTCTTCAGTTATCACCCTCCCACCCCAAAGTACTTTATATCCCCCGTGGTGGTTTAAACACCCCCATTCACGCTAATACATTATTTTCTCTGTCTAACTGAATTTTTATTGGGGCGGTTTAAGTCCCTCAATCACGGTAATAAATTACTTCTTTATCCAGAAATTACCCTTTCACCCAAGTGTACTCAATATTCCTCGGGGCGAGTTTAAATTCCCCATTCAAGCAGATAAATTATTTTCACTCTCTAGACATCACACAAGTACAAAAGTACTTTTTATCCCTCGGGGTGGTTTAAACCCCCATTCACGCTAATAAATTATTTTTCTCTGTCTAACTCGATATTCTTTGGGGCGGTTTTAATTCTTACACATCCTAATTTTTTATTTTACTTTTTACGATGGTTCGCAGCAATAGAGGTCATATTAACCCTCGAAGAGTCGGCCTTTTTGAAAAAACAAAAAATTGTAAATACGTACATTCACCCTAATAAACTGCTTTCCTTTTTCTAAAAATACTTTCTTGCCACAGAACTCGATATTCTTCTGGGTACATTTAGACCTCCCATTTACGCCACCTTGCCTTCACCGGACTCTCATCCGAGAGTACTTGTTATTCGTTGGAGAAATTTAAACCCCCTATTCGCGTTAAGAAATTACAATCACTCTTACTCAGAACACACAATGTTCATACATCGAACTGTAAAAATTAAAACAATTTATAAGTTTCCAAACGAAAGCCTTTTCTTTTCATAGTCATATCCAGCCAGCCAATTTAAAATAAATTTTAATCTGATTGAACATGATCCACCTTATTAATGATGTCTATATTTACCTTTTCCTTCAAATTGCTAACAACGTACACAAACGACTCTTCGACCCCCACCACTAATCAAAGATATTAAATCTTAAGAGCTTTGAACGCACAACACAAACAGAAACACGACTTCTGAAAGTTCCCTGGCTTAGCTCGTGTAAGCCAAAGCGGATAAATTATCCACGTTTCTGTAAACGAAAATCCAGATTATTTACTATTAATCATTTACGTTCGTTTCACGTCTTTTGTAGATTATGCTTGAACATAGAGAAATGAAGAAAATCATTTTTATTCTGTTGAATATTTATAACGGTAAGAATGAATAGAATTCAAATGACATTGCAGTGCACGTGTTTGAAAATAAACATGAAGTAATGAAAAATTAATTACTAATACTAATTCGCATATTCAATTGTCGTATAAGGATATCTGTATTATGTAAGATCGATTGCTCTTACATATATTTTTTTAAAAATTTGTTTACCAAATTTTGGAGTAAAAACTTGTTATATGTAAACTGTATAGTTATGCAGTAAAGAAACTAGGGTATTTCATTAGGTTTACAATTCCTCAATTGTGGGGCCAGAAATGTAAGCAATTTATCAAATAGCGTTTATCAATCATTTAACCAACCTTTATATGGAGATTTTATCTGTAGTTATGGATCATCGAGGCTCATGACTAATGGAGGTGTAATTCAAAACCAAATCAAGGAAATCAAGATCACTCCAAGTTGATTACCACAAGATTGTCTTCCTTCACAATAAAACTTCTCTGACGAGTATCATTAGGCTGCCTCTCTGAACGAACTCACTTGATTCGTTTTACTGAATCGTTTTTTTTTTTGTTCCGTTTTCAAAATTGGCAATAATCTTTTAATGACTAGGGGTCTGCAGTTCAATGCGAACGTAGTCAGTGTAATATTAAGTACATTGCATTTCGGTCTATTCAATTAAAAGCTTGGTGATTAATTATTGCCGGCATTAATACATGCAAGTAAAATTTAAAACATATTCCAATCTAAATAGAAAATGAACATGTTTTTTAGATTACACGATTAAAACGGAACTTATGACATTTACATACAACCATACATGTTAATTACCGACCGGTGCAACAGACGCTATATGTCACCAAGGAAAGCAAAACGGTCGCTGATACACTGCAAAATCCAAGCCTTGCTGAACGACCATTCACCAAAATCTATAATATATAATTTATTCCTTCAAGTACAACTAAGCGTTAAATTGGCTTTACTATCATTAAAATTAATGATATCGATATTAATATCAGAAGTACTTGGTCTACCCTAGGGAATGCAGATGACAAAGATCCCCAGGGGCGGATTTCCCTTCCCCGATGGTCGATGGAACAATGTTGCCTTAGGAATTGTTCGTGCAGTCATTGATATAATTTAGATAGCAAGGGTTGTTAGTTGTGATAAATAACACAGAACTGCCTATGGAACAATAGGCTGAGCGTAAAATAACTCCAATTTAACCTTTGCAAAGTTTTAATTGTAAAAGACAGAAAAAAAGATATCGCTGGTAGAGAAACTGAAAGAAAATGGGATGGAAACACCTTTTAAGTAGACCACAAAAATTTCATTAAATGACAAGATCTACAATGCATTTATTTATTTTCATGTAGAAAGATCAACCATTAAGCGAGATATATAAAACAATATATTTGGTAGGATCGGGGATGTGGTCCAAAGAATGTTCTGGTGTTGAAACTACACCAAGCTTTCATTGGTAAATAAATATACATATAATTTTGGACCACATCCCCGATCCTACAAATATATTGTTGAATAACAGCTGGTCGATCACCTTTACATCAGAGATATATAAAATTACTACATAGAAACTTCAACATTTCGAAATTACTTACTGATTTTTAAAGTTAATTTCATTTAAAATTACTATAAAAAGGAAATGTAATTAGTAAGAAATGAAATAATTGTAGTTGTTTTTTCCTTTGGCCTCCCTTGGCTTCGTACCATCGTACATCTAGCCATTCTACTTATATTATATGTACTTAATTAATTTTCCCTAGTTGAAGTTGAAGTTTGCAACCTTAAAAATTGAATGTTGAAGGCTTCTTGAATTATATTTATTTTTGTGCAGCAAGATTTTTACAGTTATAGTATTTTTGTTATCATAATATTGTATCTGTGGTCTAACAGTTTCGCCAATATTTAGTAAAGACCAAAGTATTAGTCAAAAAATTATTATTATTAATAATGAACTGTTGATTAGTTTTGGCAATATCTCATATATATAGTTCCATACTTCTTTACAACAGTAGTAGGCAAAATCTTACGTAATTAAAAATGATAATAATTAGTTGCTATATTTTTCTGATAATAATTTATTAATATTTAGGTGAAAGAAGTGCAAAACAAAATAGGGTATTTGTAAATAAATTGGATCAAGTAGATATGATCTGTTTTGTTGTACTACCTTATACCATCTTTTGTTCCTGGGATGCAGTAAGTAAATTGGATCAAATCCGAAGGAGATTCGACTTCTTTTCAGTTAAAATATCCGCTCTAAACCTATCAAAACTTATTGATGGATGGTTCTCTTGTAAAAATATATTCTAGACGTTATCGATGTTAAAAGAAAATAATACTTTGAAGTGATTTAAAAAACATAAAAACTGAACTAAGACAACTTGCAAAAATGGAACAACCACATATTTATTAACCAACATTTTAAAGAATACCATGTAGTATCTGTTAACAACCGTAAGTACACGTGCATACTTCCAAAACGCTATTGCAACTACACCGCGGTTACAGCAATAAACAAATGTTTAAATATATGGCACATCTACAATTACACGTCGACTGATCTGCTATCAGCGCTGCTATGAATCGGGGACCCTTTCTCAAAATAACGTATGGTTCACGAAATTAATTTACTCAATAACCTGAAATCCGAAAACATTATGGTCGTTTTGATCTCAGTTGTGGGATTATGGGAAATGAAAATGGCACGAAAAGTGCTATTCACGAAGGCGTGCAATTATGCTGATGTAATAGCACAAAATTACACTACTAAATAAATAAAATAACTGGCAGAAATGAACAGGCAAGATAGAATAGACCGGATTAAATAACAGAGTAATGAACATAGCATCTCTTCTTCCTGGTCGATAAGAGAGGAAATGGCAATCTTGACTCGCCTTAGAATAGGACACTTTAGGTTTACCCTTCTAATGGCTAGAGAATCAACTACTCTTTGTAAAACCTGTAGGGAATTTGGAACTGTGAAGCATGCAATCAAAGAGTGCGTAAATATGAAAGGGCCAGACGACAAGCCTTTCAATGTTCGGAAATCATAGCTGGGGGGCATGATAGTTCCCGTTCTCGAAGCTGTACAGTCATCCTAACATAGCTTTTAAGGCAGAATATAACATATAGAGTTTGAATTGTAATTTTTAAAACAATTCTTAAACACCAATTTTTTCTAAAACATGTTTTCTTTGGCAATTAATTAAAATGGGAAATCAATCATTTCTTTAGATAGAATTTAATTGAGAAAAGTGTGAATAACGAAGGAAAGTGAAAACAATGTCTTCTCTGTAGAAGATTTGTTCTGAAATTAGTTATAATAGGAGAGAACTGTACTTACATTTGTTAGTTCAATATGAAGCTGAGGAGGAAAACTAGTATCTAGAAGATTAAACTAATCTTTGAAATAAGAAATCCATTTTATTCGTTAACTTCCGAACACTCTGAACACAGAAAAAATAATTATAGATAAATTGAAATGTAAACTTTAAAAACACATGGTTTTTTTTGTAATTTTTGTTGTGGTATTTCTTTTATAAATAATATTCAAAATTGTTTGTGTATTTTAGCCAAAAAATATTGAAATTTGGAGTAACTTTATCAGTAAGTACAAATTCACTGTTTTGTTTTAACCTTGTTACATTGTTATTGCTTCTTGAGGGGGCTATAATTATTGTTTCTCGACGATCTTTGCATGTCACAGAGGTTTTTCCAAAAACTACCGTTTCAAACTTCAAACTTTGTCATTAGATATAACGTAATAACTCGAGAAAATAATTTTATTTACTACGTGAAACAATTTGATTACTCGTTACTTTTAGAATTATAATGCGCAATGATAAATATAACAGATCTTAAACAGCTGTACTTTAAAATATCTATGCTAATTATGACGCTTTAATGAAATAAAATGGAGAATTTAAAGAAATTTATGATTATTCTAACTAAACAGAAGCAAACAGAAGTTAAACATTATACCAGTAAACATTTTAAAATAAATAAATTTAAAACAGTACTGAACCTAGGATAAGAAAAAGTACTTTTTGTTCAAAAATACGAACGATTTTATCGTGAAATAAGTTTGTTTGGTAAAATAAACAATGAAAAATTCTGTATTTTTATGCTGCTTCTAAAATTTTTCCATGTACGGATTTAATTATTTTATTTGACGTAGTTTACGCCTGCCAAATGTTCAATTTGGTGTGATATTTCTTCTAGCGACATTAAGATCATGTAGTTTGTTCGTTTCCTCATCATTTTAGTCTGCGTCTGACCACTGAAGATGGCGAGACGCCGATTCGACTCTGACAGAACAAAACACAAAACTGTGAGGATAGACGGACCAAAATGATCGGGAACGACCAAACGACATGAAATGCTTTGTTTATTGCAATCTAATTGCTTTGTGGTTTTCAATCAACGACACTAAATGAAAAAAATATTTAAGCATTGAACAATACAGTACACTTATACTTGAAAAAGACACATAGACAAGAATATAAATATGAGCGACGGTTACCACTCACATAGTGCCACATCTGAGAGGGAATCTCCAGAAAAAAAGGCTGTTTTCGTTGATAAATTTGATTTCGACCTACACGCCATCACCTTGACATCTGATGAGGTTTTGGAAGTATCTTGGAAAAGGCCCACTGTAATATGATACCGGTTTAGACTGTATTCACCGAGTAATGTAAAACTTTTAGTGTTTCAGCGTCCATCCCGTTTTCGTACCGGCTAATTTCACGCCCAGTAACATAACTTCTGGAAAACTTGGTAACTACTATCGGCTATTTTTTGCTTAATGAACTAAAGCAAGTTAATACTGTTCATCCCAAGGGAACAAATGGGTGATAGCCGCCATATACAATTTGCAGTTCAATAAAAAACTTTTCCCTTTTGTTGTTCAAGTAGGGCAGGATTTCGACGCAAATTACTATGGGGTTTTTCACTTTAGGTTTGTATTTTGTAAACGAATGCACTTTTTGTTTTAAAAAAATTGTAATATTAGAGGAAACATGTAAAAGACAATCCATAATATTAAATTCAAAACTTTAATATTACAATGTTAAACTAACGGTTAATACTAAAATCATACTAGCACTTATTATAAAGTTTTTTGAAATTATAGATTTTGGAAGTTTGGGAAATGGTATGAAATAATAGTGGACGATTTGCTGCCGTTCGAAGCTGCGTCGGACGTGCCTCTTTTCTCTCGGGACAATCACCAAGACTCATTTTGGTGTCCATTACTTGAAAAGGCATTTGCCAAGTGGGTTGACGAATGATTCTAAATATGGAAAAATCGTCCACCTTTTCTCTTTTAGGTTTCACGGTTCTTACAACAACCTGAAAAATTTGACAGTTCCAGAAATTTTCACAAACTTCACGGGCGGACTCTGCGAAGAAGTTTACACGATCAAGACGAACAGCGGGGGATTTTTGCAGTTGCAGCACAGGATGAAGAAAAGACCTTTTGTTTGTGCCCATTCAGTAAGATAACGTAATATTTCTTTGCTTTGAACTTTTTACTTTTTAGGATGTTTAACAATCGCTTTGCAAATTGTTCATCTCAGATTAATTGTTTAATGATTAATGGTACATGAAAATTATGTGATCGATAAATCTGTTTTATTCGTGTTGTTTACCATCATTAAGCGTATTTTAATTAAACATCAATCAATTTACCCTACTAAGTGTAGTTAAGTTAAATTACATTGCTGATTAATATTGATTTTAAAGAAGAGCGATGGTCGGTCCAAGGGAAAGAATTTTATTCCTAATCACGCATACGTTGTAACATCCGTGGAAGTTGTAGAAGCTTCAAAACTTAAGTCGCATCTTGTGCAGTTAAGAGATCCGGGGGGCAATATACCAAAATGGAAAGGAAAATGGAGCAACTCGTAACGAATCATTGCGTTTAAATTAAATAACTTCTTTAAAACAAACGAAAAGTTCTAGGTCGATCTACTGGGTCACCTTGTCCAAGAAATTTAGAGATGAGTACCTTTTAAACAAAGACGAGGCGCTTATTTGGCTGGCGTACGACGATTTCATACGGTATTTTGACTACATGCTCATATGCAACTGTCAGATTACTAACATTTGGCCAAGAGAACCGGACGTAAAGGACGAACAGTTCTGGGACGTCACCATGTTCGAAGGGAGGTGGATCAAGAACAAAACTGCAGGAGGATTGCCAATTAGCCGTAGGAAATCTTTAAGCGATTTGAATCAAATTTCTCTTAATAATTCTTTCTTTTTTCTTTATTACTGACAGAAATCGGTTACAAAAATCCAAAGTACAAATTTGAAATATTGCAGAACGATAAAAAAAGTATATCACCGACTACAACATTGATAGCGTTGTCTCAAAAGCCGACAACAATAAGCCTCCGGCAGAATGATATCCTTGAAACCAACAGTGTTGTTTTAGGATTTTACATTTACAAAGTAAGAATTGTACAACAAACTGAACACTTTCAATTAATTAAGGTTTTTAGTTGAGATAAAAAAGCCAGGGCCACGAGGGGGATTCGAACCCACGACCTTCGGCTAGATACGCCGCTACTCTACCACTGATAAAAAAAAATGATAATAGGAAGCTAGTGAATTTAATAAGTTAAAATGAAGTATACTTCGCTAAAGCTCTCCGTGCCATTTCATTTGTCGCCGAGAATCAAATAAACCTACACGACATTTGAAAAATGGCAAAAAGGAGGGAAAATTCAAAGGTGGTGTTGAGATGGGAAGCTAGTCCCGAGTGGATCGAAGTCACGATAGCTCAAGTGGTAGAGCAGCGGCGTATCTAGCCGAAGGTCGTGGGTTCGAATCCCGCTCGTGACACTGACTTTTTTATCTCAACTAAAAACCTTATGAATTGAAAGATATTAATTGGTCAAGCGGACCACGAAAACTAGTGAATTTAAACTGAACACTAATCAATTAATTATTTTTTCGTTTTAAGGTGGGCGACGATAAACATTACGTTTATTGGAAGAAGTCTTTGGACAATATGAAGCTTTACAGCAAGAGCAATTTTAAAAAAGGTCAAGTCAGTCAAAAGCTATTTTTAAACCCTGGAACATACTTAATCGTTCCATGCACCGAGAAAGAGGGCGACGAAGGAGATTTTCTACTTAGAATTTTTACAGAATATCCTCATCAGATACCGTAATAATAAAAATTAACTTAATATTCACAATTCAACTTAAAAACATTAAGCAAATTTAGATGAGGGGGAGCGGGGTAGCCGAGTGGTTGGCGTCTTTGACTCTCGTAGACCTAGAGGTCGTGGGTTCTATTCCCGCCGACGCCCCTGGAATTTTCTTCTTTACACTTCGAACGTATCGCCAATCGAGTAAAACTCTGTTCTTTTCCCTGAAACAAACGTAGTCCACAGTTTGCGAATTTATATCGATAAGAGTAAAGTAATTTCTGTTTTACAGAAGGCTTAACGCCTAACTACCGTTGGCGGAGAAGGGGGTCAAACCATTTTATAATACTTTCTTTATACTATTCTCAATTAAAAACCCAAGGGCTACGCCGGGATTTGAACCCGGGCCCGCTAGCGTGGTAAGTACGAGTCGGACACCCTAACTTCACTCGGCCACCGCGGTTTCCTTTATATCGACAAAAGGCTTACTTGAAAACCCCCACACTTGATTCAGGTGAATCGTACTAAACAAATGACAAAATACTCAAAATTACACCTGGTGGAAACTCTCACTACAAAATAAATCCAAATGGAATTTAAATGTAGGTTCAAACAAGCGTTCTAAACTCCAAAGAATCAAATCGCTCAAGCCCAAAATCCTTTGAACCATTGCCCAACATTATTTTTTAATTAATTTAATTTTCAAAATTAAAGTGTCAAATATTAAACAAATTTTAATAATAAGTCTAAAATATTTACAAGTTTTAGTAATAAAGTTTCAATTATTAAATAAATTTTGATAAGCCAATAAATTTTACATGATTAATATAATATTCTTTGGCTTCGATAGCTGATCAACAATTTGTGTAAGTTTAAACACAAATGTACTATTCTATGTGAGCATCCTTAACTATAAATAAACGAAAAGCTTAATTTTTTATTTACTGTTTTAGCATTGCACATCAAGAGCATAAAGTCGCTGGAGACTTTGACACGCATGTGAGTCTAGTAGCCCCAAACGAAATCGATTTAGGGCAATCGATAAAGTCAGTAGTTCATGAATAATTATCGTTTAATTAAAAACTGAAATTTAATTTGACCGCTTTTGCAGAATTTCACTTTTGGCGAACAACAAGGGCTCGAACGAATTAGTAGCTATGGCTACTCTCGGAATATATTCCAAATCTTTTAGAGCATATAAGCCAATTAAGTCCCAACTGGAGCATATAATTCTTTCCAAAAAAGGGGGTAATCACAAATGAGATAAAAAATATATTACAAATTATTTCAATTTTGTTTTTCTTGTGATCTTTCTAGCCGTTGAAATACCTTTGTGCATCTCTTATGAAGAGTATGGTACCAAAATCGACGACCATTCCCTGCTGTGCGCTATTTTTGAAATATCTGGAGTGGAATCAAAATACTTCGATTGCGGGGTTAAAGTCATAAGTTTGCGGAAACCCAAAATCGAGTTTGACGTAAGTATTATGTTAATTATATAAAAAATGAGAATAAAAAAATTCCTAGGAAGTAAACTGTAAAAACATTAAGAAAATATTTTTACATTTTCTTTAAAAAATGACAAAAAACACTATGTAAAAGTGATAAAACAACACTTGAAATAAACTTCAACGTGAATATGATCAAATATTACATATTCCAAGCTATTTCTGGAAAGTTGCACGTCTGGTCGTTTGTTTTCAGGCGGACAACATTTGTGTAACTCCTTCAGGATTAAATATGCACGCCGTTTTTCGAAACCCTCTTCCTGTTTCGCTCTATCCTGGTTACGTATCGGTCGAGGGAAATGGGATAAGTTACCAGAAGAAGACATTCGCAGAGTAAGTCCAATTAATACGATGTACCAAAGAGGAACATAGTTACATATCACTATTTACCTTTTCAGAATTCCACCAGACGGAATTTTTAACATTCTATTCGACTGCGTTCCCGACACAGACTACGGCGATATAACAGCCACTGTGACGATGGAGGCGATACCGCTTGGTGTACTGAAAACCTCAGTTCGACTGTCGAGGTCCGTTTTGCAAAAGGATGAAACAAAAGTGTAGGTTTGAATAAAGTTCGATAATTCAATTACTTCGTATTTTTGTCATAGTTTGTCAACAGTACAATGGGAACCGGGAGCCAACTAATTCGCAGCTTCTATTTTCTAATGCGTATTATTATTAATTCATTAAAAAATCCCCTCTAAGTTAGATGAAAAAAGCCTTCAAGGAATTAATTAGTGCCTTTTTATTTTTGCCTATCAGACGGTACAAATGAATCGAGTCGAAGAAGCAGAGATTTTTGTATTAATAGAAAAATTCTGATTTTTAACCCGTAGCTTTATAGATTCTTATCATTTTGGTCTGCCTTCCTTTCTGGTTTTGGTCTATTATACGCGTTTTAGTTTTTCGCCATCTTCAATGCTGATATTTTTCGTATGTTAAACACACCTTTATATATTCGTCTTGAAGGTAAAAAAAGTGTGTCTGTGACTATGTCTCTTGGCTTCTAAGACAGAGATTTAACCAGGTTTTTGGTTTGTTCCCATCGGTCTTTCTTAGCATCTATCCTTTATATTTTTAATTCATTAAATGCATGTAAATAGGGGCTGTCCGATTCCTATTTGCACTAGCGGTTCTGGGCATTGCTTTCTAATATTGTAAAAAATGTATTTAAATGATACCCAATTGGCGTATTTGGAGAGATGCCCTCCTCTATGACAGAAACTCCTTTAAATGACGTAAATGATGTGTGTGAGTTGTAGTTTATTAGTGTTTTTCTGTTAATGTATTGGGTTTGTCTATTTCTAGGTTTTCAAGTAAGACCATGTTTCGTCATAATTTTTAACTTGTCTTATTATTAAGATATTCGCGGTTTTGTGTGAGGTGATTGTGTTGTTTGATATTGCATGATTGTTCCAAAATGACATCTGTTTTTTTTTTTTTTTTACTTTTCTTTTAATTTTTCCTGTCTGTTTTATATATTTTCTCTGCACTCTTTCTTTTCTTTAAGGGTTTTTCGATTGTTTTTGTTATTAGTGCAGTAATTATACTTAATTTATCGAATAGATTGGTTATTTTTATGTTTCGTTTTATGTTTACTTTTTCTTTATGTATGTAACTGTGGTCCATTTAATGTTTTTTTGCCATTTTTTAGTATCTATTTCGTTTAATGTTTCATTGGTTGTATTTATGTTGTAGCTGTTGCTATGTTCAATGTTTGTTGTTTGTATTTTTTATTGTTATGAGTTTTACCATCATTTGTGTCTGTTTGGATATATGGTCTTCGTTGTGATTCATACGTACTGTGGCGATGTTTTTCTTTTAAAAATCCTGTAAGTTTACGTTTGTGTGTATGGGTAAAGTATTCCCGATCTTTTTACTGTCTTTTCGATACATTTTTCTTTGCAATTGCATGTTTCTAGTGCGTTAGCACTCTCGATGCATTGTCCATGTTGCATTGTTTTCCGATTTTATTGGCTGTTAGTCCATTATTTATGCTTAATTTATCCAGTCGATTGATTTAACAATTTATGAATTTTGTTTATACTGTAGCTATTGTTGTGTACTGTCTTTTGTTTGTAGATCGTGACTGTATTATTATTAGTACAGGCTTTATTCCGACCGTCATTTATGTGAATGCTGTCTCTATGCCTATCTTACCGTTGGTTTTCTTTTATTTGTGGGTTTCTTGTCAATTTAAGTAAAAATTAAGCAAAGGACGTTTGTTATTGTTGTGTTTGGTTATGCGGTCTATGTTGTTGTCGATCTCTGTGTTATCATATCAGCGTATGTTGTTTCATGACGTTTTTTTCTTAAAAGTTTTATAATACTTTGGTGAGTTGAAGTTGAGTTTCTCATTGTGTTGAATATATATTATGCTTGAAGGATTTGTGAATAGTCTGTTTCTAACCTGCCGGTTTTTTTATAAAAAATATCTCGAGGCTTACAAGAAGTCTTAGAATGTAGGTGAATTATTGGTTCATTTTTCTTCTTTCCTCCCAAACGGTCAGTGAACCTACTCAAAAAAGACCTTTAACGATTTGTTAACATAACAATCATGATTTATTTATTTGCCTTAGTTTTTCTTATAACTGAATGGGTCGTTGAAATCCTATGTACATTTATAACGCAAAATATTTTATCCGTGGTAAATGGTTACACCGTTAAAATATGATGATATAGTTTTAATTACGTTTCATTTGAATACACCCGTGGTTGAATTTATGGCTGTAGAGATCGATTTATTTTCCTTCTGTGAAAAGAATACGTGGAACTTACATCTTTCTTCTAAAAGTTTCTTCCCGATTCTATTTCGTCCCAGCACTAATAATAAATTTAAGTAGAGCACGGCCTTTCTGCTGTTCTCCTTCCTTCGACAACGTTTCCTACCTCTTTTAACACAAAGGGGAAAGTTGTTAGCACAGTCGTGCTTCATGGCAAAACTTGGTGTATTCGAAGTGTTAACAGTATAGAGGTAGGCAATTTCAAACGTGTTTATGTCAACTGGGTCGGAGCGGTGTGTTATCACTTCTTTTAGTATCTGCAGATCATTCGCGTCACGAAGCCTTATTTTTTTATATAATTCATTAAAGTGTACACTTTATAAAGTTGTAGGAAAAAAATTCAATTAGAAAAAATAACAAATCAAAACTGAACTTGATGGCAGTTTGTTAGAAAAATTAGGAAAAAGTAATCAACGTTTAAAAATCGTGGTAGCATGAACTCAACTTCTAAAGTAGAAACGACTTAATTTAAGTTGGCATGTTAAAAAAACCAAAAGTGATTTACGGTTTTCAATAAATCTCTTTTTTAGAATAGAACACTCTCAATTAATGTATTTATCAAAATGACTCAATAATATTTTCTTGCTTTACTTTGTAATATCATATATACTTGTTTGATATAATACAATTTATATATTCTTTTATTTAAATAGCTCAAGCCTAAATAGGATCAAATAGGAAGAGATTAAATGTACAATTACGGTACGACATAGTTTTCAAAAACCAACTAAATTACACTATTGTCTTTCAATGCCATTTATTTTGGAATGTTAGCAATTGTTTTAAAATTTACTTAGTACTTACGTACATAAAAAACAAAAATGTTTCATTTGGAAAAATACATGAATATTTCTTTTAACGTTTCAACCTCTTTGCAATAGAGCCTCATCATGCATTGCTTAGGTAAATTTAAACGATTTTAGTAACAGCAGATTTGCTAAAAGTACATGAATATTTATTTAGAAAAAACACTTCGAAATTTTTCGCATAAGAAAAATTATTTATTATACTTGTCATACAAAATTGTGAAATTTGTTCGCGTTTATTTTTAACCTTCTACCAAAGTTTACAGGAAATTATCAATCTTCAGTCATGCATTCAAAATCTAATTTTAGTTATATTTCATAAATTATTTTTTATTTGTTTTAGTATTAGTTGTTACAACAGCCCTAGACGACACAAAACTATGTCGTTCCCTTCTGCTCAAGAGAGGAAGCGACGATGACCACTGAATGGTCGTAGAGTGATGTCGTCTTAACCCGAATTAATGTGGTGGAATGATATTGGCACTTTTAAACAAGGAGAGGTTTTGAAGGATTTTCCAAAGTAATTACAGCAAACTAATGGTAATATGGAGGTTTCGTGATAGATAATTTTATGTAGAAGTTCTCAGGAATGGTGGTCAGGATAATTATAATATTTAGGGTAATTTTAGTGGATGTTCGGTAATAATTATTTGTATATAAATTATTTCAGTGAAGCTTCTAGAAACTAGACAAGGCTGAACAACATAAAACCTAAAATATACTGAATTCTTTGAAACAAATTTAGATTTTCTTTATATATCTGTCGTAAATTGCAGGTAAGTTATGTCTAGTTTGCAACATTAATTTAAATGTTACTTCTTTAAATCCTTAAAATACTTTCTTAGACGGTCAATAAAATATTTTGATACACATCCTCAAAATTGTACTTTAAAATATAATTATTGCGACAGATAATGTTCGTCTAATCATTGTAAAGATATGTTTTTTTACGAGGGGGAATAATAACGAATAAGGTGTTGTTGGAATTATCCCGAAATCTATTCATTTTAATAAATAATTTCATTTTAATAAAGGAAAAAATAAAAATACTGAGTTCTGCAATAAAGTATCACGAATGTCTATAGATATAATAAATAATGATTGTTAATAATTTATTCAAGTCACTAGTTTTCATGGTCCGCTTAACCAATTAATATCTTTCAATTAAGTAAGGTTTTTAGTTGAGATAAAAAAGTCAATGTCACGAGCGGGATTCGAACCTACGACCTTCGGCTAGATACGCCGCTACTCTACCACCTGAGCTGTCGTGACACTTATTTAGTCACGATAGCTCAGGTGGTAGAGTAGCGGCGTATCTAGCCGAAGGTCGTGGGTTCGAATCCCGCTCGTGCCGTTGACTTTTTTATCTCAACTAAAAACCATAATTAATTGAATTGTAAATAACCTTGACAATAAAGATATTATTTAATTGTACTAACATTTTAATTTACTATTTTATATACAATAATATTTTTATCCCTAAATCTATCCCTAATATTAATAATATTTTTAATATCCCTAAAACAATATAATTTAGATTCATTTGAAGCACCCTTTAACGCGCTTAAATACGAATTTTCATTGCAATAACTAAATAAGCATTTTTGGGCTCGATTCGTTGAAGAATTTTTGTCACAAATGTTCCACTTAAAAATTCATAGCTACTCTGAATTCACTAATTTTGTGGTCCGCTTGACCAATTAAAATATTACAATTAATTAAGGTTTTTAGTCGAGATAAAAATGTCAATGGCACGAGCGGGATTCGACATTTGAAAAATGGCAAAAAGGAGGGAAAAATTCAAAAGGTGGGGTTGAGATGGGAAGTTGGTGTCCGAGTGGATCGAGGTAACGATAGCTCAAGTGGTAGAGCAGCGGCGTATCTAGCCGAAGATCGTGGGTTCGAATCCCGCTCGTGACATTGACTTTTTCATCTCAACTAAAAACCTTAATTAATTGAATTGTAAATAACCTTGACAATAAAGATATTATTTAATTGTACTAACTTTTTAATTTACTAATTTATTATATGCATTTTTTAATCTACGTTAAATATATGATTAGTTTTATTGAATTTAATTACATCAATACTATTTTTTCTACATGATATGCTTTGCTTTAAAATCGGCCTTAATGTAAAATGAAAATTTGTTTATATTTCGATTATTTATGATTCTTATTGGGTTGTCCGGAAAATAATGCAGGATTTTGGTATTAAAAAAAAAAAGAAACTAGTTACTTTAAAGCAATGTTCTTTAATCAAAATAATTTCCCATACTCTCAATACATTTCTCCCAACGTGTTGGTAACTNTTGACATTCATACAAATGAGTAATCCTGTAAACGTAAACAGAATATTTTATATAGATTTTTTTTAATGAAAACTTAAAATCCTGCATTATTTTCCGGACAACCCGATATTATATGAGTAGTCTTGAATGATATGTTAGTTACATATTAAACTGTGAGAATGGAAAGGTAACATTGCTGTCCCTGTGTTGTCATGGAAGGAATGTTTATACTTAGTATTTGACATTCCGTTACTATTAGCATTCTTGCTCAGCACATATATTCTATTGGTGTACGACTGCACAATATTGCTCAATGCATTGATACTATTTAATTATTATTTTTGTATTGTATTAACCTCGAGAAATATTGATTGCAACTTTAGTATCCCTGGAAATTTTATTTAAACTTGTTTTTTTCTTTCGAGTCTTTAAATCATCACATCACACTGATTTTTTCCTTCATTTTCGAGGATTTCCCCAGCCGAGGAATGAAAAGTGTTTTCATTCCTTTAGGTTTCCACTTGGCGGAATTTACCCGTATCCATTCATCAATACAGCCGAGAATTCTATATTCCGTTAAATTTTCAAGCTAGCTGATTGGCACTTTTTCAGTGGGCCTTTTGGAGGAAAGAAAACACGTTTCACCTGTATCAGCACATTAGAGGTGAGCCTCATCAACTCGAAAAGTTAAAAATAAAAAAAAATTGTTAAATACTGTAGCTTACTACTGCTAGTATTTCTACGTTTTACCACGTAATGAAAGTTATCGTTAATTTTCAAGTATTAAAGCTTAATAAGTTAATATATGTTCAAAAAAATATTTGTCTTCGCAAAACGATCTGAATAAACTTAGAAAAAGAGGAATTCAAGAAATAAATTTCAATGTAGACTAAGGATGAAATTGTTAATATTAAATCAGACTTAACTGAAATATATTATTTAATTATTGCGTTCTCTTTTTTTATTCGGTCTTTTCTCTTGAACCGTATAATAACAAATGAGAACAAAAAGATCTGAGATTTTAATTTATCGTCCAAAATTTTCCCCTACAAGGATCATTTTTACTTGCGTTTTTAAAACAAAGGGCTTGCATTAAGAAAAGCGGGAAAACCTTTAATTTTCCATGTGCCAGCGCACTTGTGAAAAAAACTTAATCAATAAGTTCAACTAACCCGTCGGCGGAACAAAATGCAAAATAAAACAGTGCATAAAAATATAAAATGAAAACAAGTGTTATAAACTTTAATGAAAAAAAGGCAAATAGCAGAAAAATATCGATAAACCGCAAGCCAATGAACGCAGCCATCACCATGACCACGATGATAATTTTGCCATGGATACCCAGAATCGGTATGAATATTTTCTCAAATACGACCTGTTTCCGGTAAAACTTCAATGTAGTTTATTGCACATTTTTTCTTTTAAAAATAAAACTACGCGTGTCAAATATTTGGTGTTGTTTGTCTCCTGGGGGAGCGCTAAAAGATTAAACATGTCGGTCTGGTTAGCATTGTAACTACCTTGAGTACTCGACATTTCTAAACACGGACTTGTAGCACCGAAATAAGGACCTTCTCCATTATCTATGCATTTTTCATCAAAACTGTCTTCATTTTTAAATTCAAAGTTAAATTGTCCAAAAACGATCTACCTATTGAACCCTTTCAGTTCAACGGATGGCCATTTCGCTGCCACGTAAGTTTTTGCCATCAAAACCAGTCGTTCTGAAAGGGTTCAAGAGATCACTCTTTTTGTTTAGAGAATTTAATATATATTATAAAAACGAACTCAGGTTTGATGAAAAGATGAAATTTTTTGTGTAACAATTCTCTATTCCCAAAATGTTTTTCAATAATTGTTCCATCTCGCCAGAGTAAGTTAGAAGACTTATTTTTTGGCATTCTACTCCATCTACAGTCTACTGCCCTCCTACGTTCTCATAGCTAACTACCCTGTATAGAACATATCTACAAATTAGTATTAAAATACTTTTTAACAAAAAAAATGAACATATAATGTATACTTAATTTTATATTAAAAATCAGGGATAAGGAAAAATTCTTATTATCAATGTTAATATATAATTATAATATAAAAGGCTAATAATAATTATTACTGAGATAAAATACACATATAACCGATGTAATAAGAGATCAGCCTTGAAAATTATAATTAAATTTGAAAATCTGTCAGGGATGAAGTCAAACAGAAAGTAAAGACTCGGGTCCATTGAGGAGCTTTTGAGATATGTATCCCCTTCATCAGTATTTTATTAAATTTAATTAATAATTTAACCAACATCTTAACACAATATGAACATCTAATTGCAATTAATGGTTGGCTTCAAACACCATAAAATCAAATTTTCATAACAAATGCCACATGACCAGCGTATTTGATAACAAAAGCATTTTTACAACTATGTATTAGGTAGGACACATAATTTCTGGATTCACCCTAACGAAAAGTTTATCAAAGAGATAAAATGGGAACTCAACTATTTTTAAAAAAGTCGAAAGTTTAGTTCTTTATCAATAATATTAAAAAATGTCATTATAGCAAATTTAATTTAAAAAATGTATAATGAAGTAATAAAAACTATGGGTCCCGAGAAACTCAATTAAAAAAGAACAATAATACTGTTTAACAATAAGAACAAACTACAAATCTATGGCATGAAATTATTTTAATATTTGTGTTTATGGAAAATATATGTAAATTAATTATCTTGCATGCATAACTAAACAAACAAAAACTTTATGACGTGTTTCGCCGGATGGTCAAATAAAATTAAATTGGCCCTTGAAGCCGCTACATATGGATGGATAGTGGGCGGATACTGTTAACGTGTGAGTGAGAGCAATAGGAACGATAAACTTGTTTATGATTGATTGTCCCTATTGTGCCTGACCGTTATTCAAAAAACAAACGGCGAAAGAGATTGTTATTATTATTATTATTTTTGGAAATACCGTACTGTTCGACGTTTCATGGCAGCCTGGGGTTTGACCTTAGAGATGCCCGTCCGACCGATCGTGTTTAGCTTCAATTACCGACATCTAGGTCATTTCAGCCCCCAAACGGATGCATATTACAAATTAGCCATAAATTACACACTTTACAATTACAATCGTGTTTTCCTTCGCTCTTAAATACATCCATTCGTGTTTGCAGACCACTCCAATAGTACGATGGAGTACTCGACGCCTGTTGTCACCATCACATTTTAAGTTGATGAATACATGAGGGAAAACATTTTTCCCTCGGGACTTTCACAATTTTTTTGCT